GTTGTCGTTTGTCCACTATGCGATTCACTTATGTGTGACTCAAAAAGCGTAGCATTTTCTTAAAAAAAAAAAAAGAAAACAAAGTGGTAATGGTATTTCCATTAAAATAATTTGGTTATGTTTAAGAATTATAAAATAACAAAATAAATATACATTTTTAGCAAAATGTTGTAAAAAAGTACAGAATGGTACATTAATTTAGATTGTTCTGATAGAATATGTAATTAAATAAAGATGTAAACACTATACTTATTACTTTAGTATTGATATAGCCAAATATCATTTTTTTTTGGAAATTTAAAATGAAATTTAAATTAATGTCATTAGTAGAAGAAATAATCATCAAATTGTTTGCTTGGTGACAGATAGTTGCAAAATTCGATGTGAATTATTCGATATTTATAGTTTTTATATATATATTTTTTATGATATTTAGTAGAGAAAATGTTATTTCAATTCATTCTATATTCAGAAGTTCCAAAATGTAAACAATTAATTAAAAACAATTAAAAAAAAAACAAACAATTAAGCAATTAATTAACACCAATACCACTTTTTTTTTCGTTTCTAATTTTGTTTCCTTTTTTATACATTATTTTTTTCTATGTAACACATAAATGTATGCAAAAAAGTAAGCAAAAAAGGCAAAAAAAAATTTTTAAAAACGAAAAATTTTTCTAAATAATTAATAAAAGTAAAATATAAATAATAACAATTTGAAAAGAGTAAGAAGCAGAAAATTGAAAAAGAAATCATTCATATATTTATTTTCATTTAAATGTTTTTTTTGAAAAAAAAAATATAAAAAATGAATTTTAGCATATTGTTTATGATCATTTATTTTGTTACATGGCGCAATGTACTCCATTGTTATAGACCAATTGTACTCCATGTTACACGGCGCAATTGTACTCCATGTTATATGGCGCAATTGTACTCCATGTTACACGGCGCAATTATACTCCATGTTATATGGCGCAATTGTACTCCATGTTACACGGCGCAATTGTACTCCATGTTGTAGAGCTCAATTGTACTCCATGTTACACGGCGCAATTGTACTCCATGTTATATGGCGCAATTGTGCTCCATGTTACACGGCGCAATTGTACTCCATGTTGTAGAGCTCAATTGTACTCCATGTTACACGGCGCAATTGTACTCCATGTTATAGAGCGCAATTGTGCTCCATGTTACATGGCGCAATTGTACTCCATGTTATAGAGCGCAATTGTACTCCATGTTACACAGCGCAATTGTACTCCATGTTATATGGCGCAATTGTACTCCGCTATGAATTTCCTGCATCTATTGAGGCTAATTCATTTAAAGTGTCCACTTTTTTCTTGTTTTTTGTTTTAAATTGACACTTTCAAATAGAAGAAATTTATTTTAATTTTTTTACTATAGAAGAATGTCCTATTATACGTCAGATCACGTCATTAACACGTGAAAAGTATGTTTTTATAAAAGAAAAAAAATTCCATAAGTTATCCTACAGAATCATTAACATTACAATGTGATCAAATATCAAATGCTACTAAATGCGCTGATTATTTTAATGAATGAAAAAATTTAAAAGAAAAAAAAGAGTTTAATCTATCATTATTATTTCTAATTTAGTTCTGCATGATAAGTTGACAGTTTGCTTATCAGTAAATAGCATATTCAAATTGCTTCCTTATCATTAGCATTATTTATAGTTTATCACTCTGATATTGATCAATGCAACAAGCAGATGACAATGGTTGACAATTGATCGTTTGTTGGATCTTTTTGTTGTATCATTAGGTGGGAGTAATTCATCGTTGACTTATTGTCACCTTTTCACCTAACTCTTCATAACCGGAATATTTTAACCGGTTTATCCGGAAAAACACTGAATACAAACAGAATATGGTAATATTTTTGAAGTGGTGTCAATTCCAATCATTATATTACTGAAAAATTTTTTTCTTTCATTCATTTCCACTTCTTATTCTTCGTTTGAATAATTAGAAATTCTTAATGATATTAGTGCGAAATTTTTTTATCTATTATTTTAAATAATATTTCTTCACATTTTGAATCTAATTTTTAAAATTTTTTGTTAATAACATTTAGTGCAAATTATATTTTGGATGAAGAATGCAAAGTTTTTTTCAATCTTTTATATATTTCATACAATTAAGATAGCAAATCTTACTGTCTCTCATAGTAAACTATTAAATTATTTTTAATTAGTATTCAAAAAAAAAAAAGTTCAAATTTATTGCTATGTTTAAAAATGATGCTGAAAAATTATGATAAATCTTCAAATAATTAAATTCATGCTAAAAAAAATTCCGCTACTGATCAATGTTTATAATTTATTTCATTAAAAATTATAATTTAAAATTTTTGACTTTTTTTAAATTTTTAAATTTTGAAAAAAAAATAGGTGAAAAAACAAAAGGTATAAAAAAAAAATTACCAAAATGATTATTTATTATCTGACAGAATTATTTTTTAAACTAAAAGTTTCTAAAAGTTCATGTGTACATCTCATCCAGAAACATTTATAAACAAATAATCAATACTGAATAATAAATTAAATTTGGTGATCAATAATTTTTTTTTTTTTGGTGAAATATCATCTTTTTTCAAATATCATTAATTGACTAAAATGAAATTTCTCAATTTAAGAAAGATGACCTGAAAATGTGTTGTTGACCTTTTTTTTTTTTTTAATTATCTTATCAATATATTATTTAGTTGTGTGAATGACAACTAAACAGGTCATTGAAAGGATTCATTTTCATGAATGATTCGTTTCTTTTTTTTTGTGAAAAAAATTTTCAATATTTCTTATTTTAAATTAAATAATTTCATTTATTAATTATTGTTGAAATTTTTTTACAGCTCACCAAAGAATGCTAAAAATGAAACATTCAAATGTTTTATTCATTAATGAATCATCGACGAAGTTATCATTGAGCATCAAATTAAGCTATGCATCAGTGATAATTTCACTGATATGCATCACTTCTATGCTTATTGTTTTACCATTTCTTTGTCTCAAATTAGACTATGCATCCAATCAAATTATGGAACGAATGAACAATTTTGGCGTATGTTTTACTTATTAAGTGATAATTTGTTAATTATTAAGTGATAACAGTTAATTATCATGTGATAATTGTTAGTTATTTAGTGATAATTGTTAATTACTAAGTGATAATAGCTAATTATCATGCGATAATTGTTAATCATTAAGTGATAACAGTTAATTATTATGTGATAATTGTTAGTTATTAAGTGATAACAGTTAATTATTATGTGATAAATGTTAGTTATTAAGTGATAACAACTAATTATTAAGTGATAATTGTTAATTATTAAGCGATAACAGTTAATTATTAAGCGATAAGAGCTAATTGTTATGTGATAATTGTTAATTGTTAAGTGATAATAGTTAATTATTAAGTGACAATTGTTAACTGTTAAATGATAATTGTTAATTATCAAGTGATAACAGCTAGTTATCAAGTGATGACAGTTAATTATCATGTGATAACTGTTAGTTGTTTAATGATAATTGTTAATTACTAAGTGATAATAGGTAATTATTAAGTGATAACACTTAATTATTATGTGATAATTGTTAGTTATTAAGTGATAACAGTTAATTATTGTGTGAAAAATGTTAATTTTGAGTGATAACAGTTAATTATTAAGTGATAAGAGTTAATTATTATGTGATAATTGTTAATTGTTAAGTGATAATAGTTAATTATTAGATGATAATTGTTAATTAACATTAATACCAAACAAAAGAAAAAAATTGGTTCTATTCTGATTTTTATTTAACCATATAATTAAATTTAAACTTTATTATCATTTAGGGTAAATTTTTTAACATTTTTATCAGCATTAATTACAGTGCTGCATTATTTATAATAATTCACTATATGATTTATATTGTCTGAAATGAAATTATTAAATAGTTATTAAATACATTTGATTTAAATTTTTATTTTTCATTATTATATTACCTCATAATAATTCAATTTCTTTAGGTAACATCAAAAAATTTGTGGCATGATATCATTTTGATAAGAAGTAATGGACGGATTAAACGTCAGGGTTTGTTCATTCTTACTTTTATGCATTTATCAAAGTCTCTAAAATTAGTTATTACTTTAAATTTGGAAAAATATTTTTTATCATTTATGAAGATTTCATTATTATCATAATTGTTTAATTTCTTTATGAAAGAGAGAGAAAGCTATAGAGAGAGAAAAGCAAGTAAATCTGATAATGAAAAAGTTGAATAGACGAGAGTGATTTTATAGGTTATGGCGAAGCATCAGTAATGGATTCTGATGAAACTGAAGGACAATGCGGTAGCTGTGTAGAGCTAAGATGTCCACCAGGTACACCAGGTCCATCAGGAGTGGATGGAGAAGATGGTACAAATGGTGAACCTGGAAGACCTGGAAAACCTGGATTAGATGGATTAGATATCCCGTTGGAACCGGAACCAAGTTCACCTTGGTATTTATTATGCTCATTTTATCAATTTTATTTATTGTATTGCAAAAATTACAAAAAGTAGTGTATCTAATAAGAAAATGAAATTTCAGCGTAATTTGTCCAGCAGGACCACCAGGAAATAGAGGACGACAAGGAGAACCAGGAAGACCCGGAATACCTGGTGAGCCAGGTCATCACGGTATACCTGGAAGACCAGGTAAAGGAGGTAGGGTAGGCGATCCTGGACCACCTGGACCTCCTGGTGAGGAAGGTGAACCTGGCATTAAGGTACATTTCATTTTGTTATAAAAAATACCGCTTTTTTTATAACTAAGTAATATTTTATAGCTGAGTCATAAAAGGCAATTTGATTGATGACTGAAAGGACAAAGATTAAATTTTATTTATTTTTTTTTTTTTTTACCTTACTTAGCTATAAAATACTGCGATTGGATTATAATTAATTCAATGACAATGATGGAATGAAACCGAATAAAAACACAAATAATAGAAGGACAGGAAGAGATTGTTCCTGGCACAATTGAGCAATAAAAAAAGTCACACAGATATAAAAATCGTAAAAAAAAAATAAAAAATAAAAAAAAAAAATGAAGAATAAATAATACGAAGAAATCGATGCACTGCCGAATAGTATATTTGCAAATAAAAAAAAAAAGAGTAAAATCATTAAGTTATTACCTATACACATATATATTGCCCAGGGTCCACCTGGTGATGATGCAATCGGTGGAACAGGAATCAAAGGTCCACCAGGATCACAAGGGCCTCGTGGACCCAAAGGTCCACCAGGACCAAATGGAATTCCATCTAGCAATTTTGGGCCACCAGGACCTCCTGGTGAAATGGTATGCTTAGCTTATTCCGTTGTTTTCCTAAGTATTATAATTGCACTAAGATGCTATTTACTCTATACATAATTTTAGATTTACGATTAATTTAAATGAAAAACGTATTATCCAAGAGTATTTCGCATCTTTTCTTACATACCCGTTCTGTAATTTAATATTTTCTATGGTTTACTTTGAAGGGACCAACCGGACCACCAGGTAAACGAGGTGAACCAGGACCTAATGGACCAGTTGGATCACCTGGTGAACGTGGTGAACCTGGTGGACACTGCAAATCATCATGTGGAATTCAAGAAGTTGTAGCTCCATCTATTGTTGAATTAGACATTTATGACCCAAAAAAAGACACAAAAGGAAATTGGAAAACGGCTGGAACAAATTATAAACATAAGCAGTAGATCTAATGTCCACAAAATGGTCAAAACGGTCACTCTTACGATATCGTTAAAACAATGTCTTTAATAATTGGAAACATCAACAATTGTTGTATATCAAACATTCGTAAATCTTTTTTTTTTTAAATTCATGAATTGATGAATTGAAATTTAAAATGATTTGTCCGTAATAAAATTTGTCCGTCCCATATATTTCATAAATACAAAACATATTTTGTCCGTCCCATATATTTCACAAACACAAAACATTTATTATCATATCATAAATGATGGTTATCATCTGATAACACAAAGAAAGTATTTGATTACAATCTGAAAGATTGAATGAATAACCAATCAGATTCATTTAGTATTTCGAGATTAGATTTTCAACTTCTAAATCAAAGTTTTACTTGTAAAACTAAACTATGCGGTTAGTGCATCACCTTAAAAGCCACTACTCAAAGTAATTGCAATATGAGAAATT